ATAGTTTTGGGTTGGTGTGTTGGTTTCCCCCCCACCACCCCCATCTCTTAAAAAAGAGCAAGTGTACAGGTGCAATAGTCCTTTGACAGTCAAATCACAAAACAGACCACCTAAATACAATGCTCAGCCACAACAGTAATTCAGCCATTAAGCAGAGTTTGCTTTTGATTATTTAAATACCAAAGAAGTTAAGAAAAACTTTAAAAACCCCAATCATTTATCATCCCATTGTCAAGAAGGTATCAGGAAAGCTTTAAATCAGATTAAAGTAGCACATGCTTCTCAGTAAATATGAAAAAAAAAAGGTCTTACAAAGAAAATATTTGAGATGGCTCATTTCTTTGCTGTCTGAGGTCCCATATTTTTAACTGCCCAATTGAATTTACTGTCAAAATCTCAGTTGTGTGAAGGAAGGTCACTGCATGGAGCGTACTGCTGTCTGCATTGTCTGCAAGAGAGATGGGGAAAGCATTCAGGTAAACCTCTGGAATCCTGGTCTCCATTTAATTACGACAAAATAATTCGTTTTAGAAAACAGAACACAGCTGCTTAAACATGGCTACAACCTCTCTGCATTTTCAGGGGCAGAGACAGACCAGTGTCATGTGACTTCTAAGTCTTGCCAGGGTACCCTGTGAAAAAGGAGCCCTTGCTTCCTATATCAAACACTACTGAGACAAATCTGTAAGAAGCTGTATTTAATTAGCTCAGGTGCATTCAGAACTATTTATTGATCCGTAAGATTTCTTTCTTAAGACGAGAAATCAATTTAGCTAGGTCCATGGTTTTCATAAGGGTTTTGTTTATATGCTCTGCATCTACTGGCAGGAGGCAAGCTATGGAGCTTTCAATAATGCCGCTCTTTTGAACACAAGAAACAGTAACTCTGGCTGAGAACATTAAGCAGTTGTATATAGAAGCACTTAAATGACCAAGTTTCTTTAGACCTTTTCCAAGAACTGTCAATGTGATATCCATCCCTGTCCCTAAAGCCAAACTAGAATTATGCTGTGCTTGTTAATCTTAATAACTAAATGGCAAAGCTCTTTTTTTCAGGTAGTTTTCTCCAGTGCTTCTTTTGGTCACAATAATTTACAATGTCAAAGGCTTCACAGCATTGAGGTGAAACTTTTGAGGCTTTAGGAGAGAACATAGACACCATTTTCTTATATTTTCATTTTGTTATTATATATAAACTTTTCATCTTGATTGTGATGGGATAACATTGTTAAGTCCACTTTCACCTCAAGTATTTTAAAATCCTTTGTGTAAGCCCATACTGAAAATATAGGTGAATTTTTTGCTGCATAAGATGGACACCTTTTCTGATACTGAGACAGACAAGTTACATTGATGCCTGGTTACAGATATTTGAATGAGTTTTCTTTTCTGCCTACTATTTAAATGAAAGCCAAGGGGAAGAAAAAAAACACCCAAACACCAAAATGCCTTTAAAAACAGATGTTAAATCACTGAACACTGAAATCCTAAAGGATTTAAAGTTTTGTGACAGAATAACAGTAAGTGATTTAGCAATGATACATCCTTCTGGCTCCAGAAGATTTTTACATCATCTCTAGCATTGGAGATTTTTTTTTTCCAACAAGATTGACTATAAACATATCAACTTTGTACTCTTAAATCCATTAAACAATAAAAAAAAATAGCAAGTTACTCCTCTACAGATATTTCATGAGGTAGAAGAGTTCTATCTTCATGTTAAAACATGTTGAGGGTTCAGCTCAGCACCTGGGAAATGTCAAGATGTCATTGTATTGGGAACCAGTACGAAGGATTGCTTATGCTACAGAACCCCATCCTGAAGAAAAATACAAGGGTTTTTTTGTGGACATCTGCTTCCTGCGAGTCAGCAAAACATTCTACTCTGACAAACCTGTACCAGAATACTCTCTGTTAGTATCCGTATGTAAGTAAAACTTTAAAAATAAAATAATCTTTTTAAACCAGTTAATGTTCTTGCTCCTCCAAGGGGAAGTTAGCGTGTTTTGTGTGCGTGTGGTAATAAAACTGCCTCATGTCCTGCTACTTTTTTTTTTAAAGGCATAGAAAGGTTTCCTACAGGAGTCTCAAGGAGCTGCAGTAAAGGGCTGTATGCAATTAATAGGATTTATCTTGTGTGTGTATATACAGCCATACAAACACAAGTACCCACTCTAGAAATCCCAAAGCACTTCCTTCCTTAATTGGCTTATCACTGTGTGAATTCCTTCATCTGTTCAAGGGAAGATTTTGTTTGAGGAGAGACACAGGTTCTGTGTCAAGCTGAGGTTTCAGGGAGAAAGTCCTGGTTTAATAATGTCACTATCAAACATGGTGTTACCGCCTTTTAAATTATTTCTGCTCTGAAGTTTAATTTCAACAGATGCTACAAACTTGTTATTCTATTTCCATGAGACTAGCATGATAGATGTGGGAATAACCAAGTTTTGACACCTTTCACAAACATCTTACTCTATCACATCATCTATTACTCTAGGAAATATGGAGCTTTTTCACTAAGGGAGAAATGATCACTGTGAGTCATGATACCTGGCAGAAGAACAGGGTACAAACAGTGGTTTCTGGTTCTTGATCTTTCTTTACACACAGAGAAATAGATGTTTCTGTATATGGACACCATGAGGGTTAATCTTAGTACAAATAGCAAATTGAAATGAACATTTCACTGACCTCCAGTTATAAAGAAGTTGGGACACAATACCTCCTGAAATCTAACCATATTTCTAGCTGAAACAGGAGCCTACAGAGAATGTTAGGCTTGAAACATTAACTTGCAAATACCTGAATGAATATAGAAATACATCTGAAATACGCTTCAAGTATCTGAAGTCTTGAGGAATACAGGAATAATCTGGAGCAAATGCATTCAACTTGGAATATTTAATTCAATTCTCAACTGACTGACTTTTTTTTGGTTATCATTTGAGAAGCTAAAAACCAAATAAACCACTCTAATTTGAACAGTTATTTGACATACCTATAGTTCTTACTGCATCTTTTTGGTCCGCTCTGAAGAGATTTATTCTACCATCTTCTCCAACAGTGACAATTTCTGGGTTGTTGCAGATGACTCCAGTACATGCTGCGCCACCACAAGATGTGTCTTGATCCACATGATAATGGGCTTTCTCCCACCGCTGGTTGGCAGATAAAGTCTAAGCGGTAACCAGACATGAAATTCTGCTGTTAAATAATGACCCTGACAGACCAAAGCTTTTGGAATACTCACAAAGCCAGAAACAGGCTCCAGGAAAGCCAAACTACCTCACAGGAACGAGAGCCTCCTATACGAGTAAGAATCAGAGATCTAAATTTTCCTCACTCTTGAGCACACAACCCTTCAATGAAACATTGATTATTTCTTCTCTGAACCACCTTTTTCACATGAGCTAGAGATCAGAAAGAACACAATCTATTTATGAACTGTGAAATGTCTTTCACTAGACTTATCCCTTCAGTTTTTCTTCAGGACAAGGGAGGAGAGCTAAGGCTTTTACAAACTATAAGGTCAGATTTAGGTTTTGTTTGCAAGGAATTCATTTTAGGTGCCACATCAAACTATTAGCAGATAGTAGTCTTTATTGTGCGATTGTGAATATATAAAAAAAGTCATTATGCATTTATTTTTGGTGATTTATAATCAAAGCAAGAGACTACAGAGTGTCCGTATCTTCCCTCACATGACACTTGTGAGAAGAAATTCAACAAGTCATTTAGTTCAAGAATGCAAAAACTCTAACAAAGCAGGTAACAAGTCCATTAGAACCCACTCCCCCAAAACAATCTAAACTCTTAAAAGTGTGTTTTCAGTGAAAGGACTATTTGGTTCCAGATATATCGTAGCATACACCCCAGTCTATCTGGCTCTGTAATTTACCTAGTATGTGTGCAAAATGCTTTTTTCTTTCCTTGTATGTATAAAGACAAAGCTTTTTCTAACAGATTTGTTCTAGTTTTGGCTGGGATACGATCAATTTTCTTCCCAGAGGCTGGTACAGCGCTGTGTTTTGGATTTAGTATGAGAATAATGTTGATCCCACACTGATGGTTTAGTTGTTGCTAGGTAGTGCTTACCCTAAGTCAAGGACTTTTCAGTTTCCCGTGCTCTGCCAGCGAGGAGGGGCACAAGGAGCTGGGAGGGAGCACGGCCAGCACAGCTGACCCCAACCAGCCAAAGGGACATTCCATACCACAGAACGGCATGGCCGGTATAGAAACTGGGAGGGAGTTGGCCAGGAGGAGCTGATCGCTGCTTGGGGATGGGATGGGCATCGGTGGTGAGCAATTGTATTGTGCATCGCTTGTCTTTTCTTGGGTTTTATTTGTGTCTGTCTCTCTGTTATCTCCCTTTTCATTACTATTATTATTATATTTTGTTTCAGTTATTAAACTGTTCTTATCTCAACCCGCAGGTTCCACCTTTTTCCAATTCTCCTCCCCATCCCACCACAGGGGTGGGGAGGGGGAAGGAGTGAGGGAGTGGCTGCGTGGTACTTCGTTGGCAGCTGGGGTTAAACCACCACACATGCTTCAAAAAATTGATTTTGGTATGCAGCTATTTCTTGCTCTAATAGCTTTGAGAAATCTTATGCTGAGATCAAAGTGATGTGTATTACACAGAATAGCAGCTTAAAGCCTGTGCAAGTTACTTACCTGGTTATTTTGATGATGACGGAATATAGTTACAGTTCCTGTTGATGAGGCAACGACAATTCTCTCCTGATCCAAAAACTAAAGACAGATAATAAGCATGCTATTAGTTGAAGTCAGTACCAAGATGATCGTAACCTAAATTATTGGTAGTAAAAAAAAAACAAAACACAACAACCCGACAACAAACTCGCAAACTGATACTGGTTGGTTTTGCCTTTATTCTTTCTTCATAAGACTTTTTTTGTCAATATCAGCATTTTGACAGCTCACTACCACTTAATTTCTGTTAAGTGACAAGCCCTTAAAAAAATACGGATCTACCCAACACAGCTATTTTACCTGCATGTCCATAACATCACCATTGTGCCTGATGTCACAGAGCAGCTGAGGCTCTCCTTGATATTCACCACTGAGGCCCACATTTCCAACGTCTCCAGCAGACCAGATGGAGATCCTGTTATCCTGTACGGAAATGACACCACCAGTTTTAACTGAAAACGCTTTGGAAAGTATCTAACGATAACCCAGCCTAGATGTCACGGCCTTCTGCCTACAGCCAGGGAAGGCAACAGGCTGCAGGCCGCACGGCTCCTGAGGGAAGGGCCTGCCCTGCGGGACAACCCCCGAGCAGCGGGGCGGACCCCGCTTTCGTCGGGACGCGG